TCCGTTGTTGACCGGGCCTTCCGGAATCCAAATTGATTTGGTGACAGGCCTCCGGCGCTAGTAATYRCAGTCTCCAGYCTARAGYAGATCARTTTCTCAAACACCTTTCCCATGGTGTCTAAGAGACAGATCGGTCTGTATGAAGATGGCTCTTCTGGTGGTTTGCCAGCCTTGGGTATGTGTGTGTGTTTGTGTGTTTGTGTGTGTGTCTGTGTGTGTCTGTGTGTGTGTATGCGTGTATGCCTTGTGTGTGTGTGTGTGTGTGCGTGTTTCTTGTGTGAGCTGAGAGACGCGAAAGTTGATTGAAATAGATATTGCTCCAAGGGTTCAGGGGATCTCGTAAGTGAGCAGTCTCGACTAGAGCTTTCTTACTTATTTATAATAGCCTTTTATGATCTCATCACTTTGAAAAAATAGTCAACAAGTTTATAACATTTTCATAGCTCGTAAAAAAAAAAAAAATTATGAGACAAATATTTTCAATATTTCTCGTTATTTGTATCATAAATAACTTTCAGTTGTGCTGCGGTAATTCTTTTAGAATGAGTAATTTAAATGCTGTTTTACTTAATTGCCCGATTAATGATAAGGAATCGACTTGTGAACCACAGTTGCTCGTCACTATTCACTTTAAGCCCACCTTAAATGTGAAGTCTCAAGATAACCTTCTAATACTGGACGAAACATATGAGCCTTATAACCGTCAGAGCTTTGAAACACTGTCTCCTTATGTAATAGTGATAAGCAGGAGTGAGCCAATTATCATGCACTCATTAAAATTCTCAAAAGTAAGTTATTCATATTTATATATATTTAGCGAAAATACCTTAAAGATTGATTACAGCTCGAAAATTCTACTAATAATTGCAACTCAATAATTTCTAATGGTAAGCATTTGCTGATAACATTTTTAATAACATTACAATCATTCATAAACGTGAGTTTAGTGCTTTTGTGAAATTGCTCTCTGACTGTCCGTCCGCCGTGCAGAAGATGATCGTCTATTGAAGCTAGAGACTTTAAATTTAGAATATATGTATACTTGTGTGTGCCTTATAAATGTATACTCGCGTTGCCTATCCAAAATCAAAACAAGTAAGMACCTTACAGTCGGGCGTTACCGATTGCGAAATACTCATTCACAGCCCAAACGCTGTCGAACATTTAGTGCAGTTTTCAAGTATCTACTGTGTATTTTTCAAATATCTACTGTGCAATTAAAAGCCGTGCCTGATACCATTAAAATTGAGAAACCATTAATAGCTATTCCCTTTTTATCTAGTACATCTTTGATCTTTGGTATATTTTGAATACCGGCTCCAAGCAGCAGATCACCACGATTTTCCTATACATAGCGTGCCTTCTAGCATTGCGATTGATTTCTGGATTTTCCAGCAGTTACTGTATTTTTGTCACTCTTTATATTACCACCACGCCACGACCACGCGGTATAACCTAACCGACCACGCCCGCGCATTCGCATGCTGGAGGGCGGCAGAAATCGATCTGCGCGATCAAGCACTCTCGAGATTTCTGGCAGTCGCGGGTGCGTTATGGAAGGTTAATAGGGCTGCTACGGGCGATAAACTGACGACAAAGGAACGCCCAGCGTTGCCGCCGGCGTTCACTCTGGGATCAGGCAGTTTTCACAGCCGGAAATTTGCTCATCCAGCGGACACTGTGAAGCCACGACCAACCACCAGTTAGTATTCCACCACAACTCTACTGTGGGGCACGCCCCGCTAGCAAGGTTTGGTTATTGTTAATATATTAGTTAGTGAGGTAACGGGGACTAATTACAAGTCATGCAACTCACGCTTCATTTCCAATTTCACTCTTCAATTTATTAGATTCAATTTGTCAATTTGCCTTAATATTAACCTAATCGCTCTCACGTGTACGCGCCGATCTTATTCTACATTTGTGCTCTTCATTTTTAAACCGCGTGCGCTCGCGCCGAGTCCCCAAAACTGACTAATCTCTGCTTGTGGCTTTTTACTCTCGCTATCCTTGGCCGCGCAGCTCTCCTTTTAAAGTGCATGGTTGAATGGCTGATTACCGAGGTCGCGCTCACTCGCCACTATTCAAATCTGCTTAAATCCCTAACTTAAGCGCTACAAAACCTACTTTATATAGAATAATGTATTACGAACTACATATGAAACCTTATTATCTAACTTACGTACCACAAATGGAAATTACAAAAAGATGCAAGACTTCAGTGGCTACGCATCAAACCTTATTATCTAACATACGCACTTACGCATACGCATGCGCACCTTACGTACTGTAAATAACAAACGAAGATTTCAATGGCCTAATGCTAAGTTACACTCTACAGGCGCGAGCAAACGAAGCAATGTAAAGTGGCCAGCGAGCCACCTTGCACAGTGTACCCGATTTGCCACGCTGTAGTCACGCTTATTCGCTTAGTCACGCCTCCATTGGGGGCGATTCACCACGCCCCACAAAAAAAAAAAAAAAAAAGAGAATAATGCAAA